CCAAATCTCCACCGTAAATCCATTGCAGAGATCATCTCTTCCACTGTTAAAATCGCAGTGGGTAAGGTCAGAGCCTCCGCCCACAACTGCAGCGACCTTCGTCGACATGTACCCAAACTGGAACCTATTGAAAAACGAGCACTCCAAGACTGTGTTGAACTATTGGGAGAAACTATTGCTGAGCTCAGAACAGCCCTCACTGATCTTTCCCCTAAGAAATCTGCTTCCAAGCACTACAATGACATCCAAACACTTCTCAGTGCCGCAATGACCAATGAGGATACTTGCCTAGATGGACTCTTCTACAGTACAAAGAATAACTTAACCCGTTACGTAGAGGACAATCTGCATACCATCGCTCACCACGTCAGCAACTCCCTCGCCATGCTCAACAAGATTAAGAGGACATCAGTATCTTCTTCTGAAGAAGTGTTTCCCGAGTACGGGGCTATGAAGAATGGGTTCCCGAAATGGCTGAAGAGGCGGGAGAGAGCACTTCTGCAAGTTCCAGTGAATGAGACCAAGTTCGATTTGGCGGTGGCAAAGGATGGCAGTGGTAATTTCACGACTATTAACGAGGCCTTAAGTGCAGCATCCAACTCCACTAACACAAGATTCGTGATCTACATTAAGGAGGGATCTTACTTTGAATACGTGGAGGTAGACAAGAAGAAAAACATGATTAGACTTTAAAATAACTAAAATTTTATTAATTTTTTCCTTATTTAACTATGTAAAAAAAATTCAATTAAATATTTCCCTTATATAAACTTCTTTTAACATTCCGACTCAATCACTTACTATTCTCTTGGATTAACTGTTACATTTCACAATAAAATAAAAGATTTTTACCTTTTGAATTAGATTACCTGAGCATTCTTTACCTCCAACGTGACTTCTATTTAAAAGGAAATGGAGTCTTATCTTTTTTAATGAAAAGGTCAATTCTAGGAAAGTTATAAGTGGAATATTGTAAACTAGACTTTAAAATCTTAAATGTCTAGCTCAACTAAAGTTTAATATATTAACGGTAATTATAATTTTATTTTGTAGCATAATATAATTTATCCAATATAGAATTATTTTTAAAGAAATAATTTAGCTATTGAATTTAAATATAAATTAATATTTGCTACAACTTGGTGAACACTAAAAAGGTAGTAATAAGAGAAAGAACATGAGAAATTCTTTTACTAATTTATCAAAATTTATTTTTCAAATTGACATAATAGGGTACATAACTTGTGCCCTTGAGAAGAGAATCGACAACGAAAAAAATCAAAAAATAAGAAATTAATTATGTATAATATTAAGAGTCAAATTAATTAAATTGCTATTCATTAATTAATTCACCTTCACTTTCTTAGCTTTTAATTTATAACTCAAATACAAAATTTAATATAATATTTATATGATTTTTAAAAAGTTTATACGAATTAAGTTGTTAATCTATCTATCTATCTATCTATCTATCTATATATATATATATATATATATATATATATATAT